TTCCTTGCTAAAACATGGTTACAAATCAAAAGTGGAAAGTACAACAAAGGTAGACACAAACTATACTTAATGTCTCATTTAGAAGAGACAATTCAGTTTTATTAGTTTGTGTGTTTGTTTATTTTGTTAGCATCAAGTTAGCATCAAGGGAGCACCATCTCAGGTATATTATTATTCCTTTTACTTGACGTTTAGTAAACACCTCATTCCTCCCACCTAATTACTATAAAATAAAAAAGGAAAAAAAAACCTTTGGTAATGAATGATAAATTTTAATATCTGATTACTTGAGAGCACTGGCAAGAACAGCTTTCATTTGTAGAAAATATAAGTGAACTTCTGAATTAAATAATAATAATTAAATAACAAATTTAATAACAACAACAACAACAACAATAACAATAATAACAATAATAATAATAATAATAATTTCCAGGCACTGTTTTGTAAGCAGTTAAGATATATTAACTCTCTTAGTATTCTCAAGGTCTCCTGACTATTTACATCCCTATTACATCAACACTGAGAAGTTAAGTGATTTATCAAATGAGACTTGGTTAAATAGATTAAAACTCCATTCTCAAAATAACTGTACAAAACTGCAATGAGTTTGTCAACTACTTGCAAATTTCTATTTGATGGTGCCTATTCCTTTTGTATCCACAACACTCCTATCAGGTGGGGTCGCCTTTCAGTAAGTAGTTGCACCACTGAGAGTCAAAGCTTAGCCTTAATATTTATGAAAAGGCCATCATAATTTTACTGATTATATAAATTTACTGAGAATTAATACAACTCTGAACCTTGAAAGGAGAATCTATGGGCATGAATATTTGGCTTACATAAATATAGGATTAGTGGTCAGATCTTCATGTACGAAATCTAAATTGCATTGTGTGGGAGGTTGATAAGATGGAGGATGGGAGGTAAGGGTAAATAAAACCCATGATGTTAGCCAAGCCAACCTATTGTTCCAAAAGAAAAAAAAAAAGACTTTTTGTTAACTATGCCACTCAGATGGGGCACATTTTTGCAATAACTCCACAGCTGGGGTGCGGGTAGGGAGCACCTTTTTGTAATTCACACAACCATACCATATTGGTAGCAGCTACCTAGAAAGACTTGATTTTAAACTGAAATTTCTGATGTCAATCCAAGTAATTAAATAAAAACAAAAATGGGTACTGCAATTTTATTATTCATGATGAAATAAAGCCTAATAAATCTAATTTTAGAAAGTATCTCAATTACTTTATAGATCTACAAAAAGCATGTAAGTGTTTAACATTTACCGAATTAATTGAACTACCAGAGAGACTTCTCATCAAATGTTTCATTTTTGGCTCCAACTCAAGTTTTAGGGGCATTGTTAATCTAAACTGTTCAAGATGAGGTTTGGCCAGCAGAGACTGTGGGTAGGAGATACAGGTGGGAAAGATTATTCTACGTACAAATTATTTCTACCACTACCAGGAAGTTAGGGCTACTATTAGAAATTTAGATTAGATTTCTAAGACCTGGGAGCAGTTCAGTGATTGAGGACTAACTTCACGGTATGTGAAAATGGTAAATATTTAAATAAACAAATGAATTAGCCCTCCTGTGCGGTGTGTGAAAACTTGGGTTTGGATCTGAGTTAACCTTCCTTGAAACTCTCCATAGTCAAGCATCACCTTAGGGCTCTCAAAAAGCTCCTTCTAACCTTTGTATACAGTGGCATGGGAGAAGTTCACTTGATAGTAGACTTGGGGTTTAGCCTCAAGGAATTTTGAATTTCTGTGAGTGTATAGCATTGTAGCAAACATGCTGGTGGAGGGAAAATATTTAAAAAGGTATAGGGAACACTTGGAAAACATCTTCATAAATATAGATATTGAAAGGGCAAATGTAAGGGAAGCTTTTTAAGAGATGAGGTCATCAAATAACAAAATCCCAAAGAGAATATATAAGAATGATTATACGAGTTGCAAATTATCAATAAATCTCTGAAGGTCTCACAGTATTCCAAGGAGTAAAATTCCAGCAGTAATTGAGTTTATCACACTGGAAAATTTAGACAGCTAATCTCATACATTGGATGTAACAAGTTTGTTCAAGAACAGAATATTAGAGATGGTTTGGAAAAAAAAATGAGAAAGTTTTCTGCACTGTATGATAGATACTTTATTCTTAATGGATCTCAAAGATGATAATGATGGATTCTTATTTGGAAGAATAGATGATAAGACATACAGAATTTTAAATTAATAATTCTTTGGATGAATTGGGCAGTGATATGAATAAGAAAGAAAACCTAACGTGAAAATAAGACTAATTTTTGACAACTTCTTGTAGTTTTCAAGGGCCGGGCTACTGTAAAGATGAAGAGATTTAATATATCTAACTCAGAAAGAAAGAAAAATGGAATTGGAGTTAAAAAAATGCTAGCGCTAAGAAACTAAGAATGAATGGGAAGTTAGAATATATGAAGATGTAAAGATGCAGTACGTGACATTTTATTTAATAACAGAATATAATCTTTTGAATAAACAGAGGTGAATAATAACATAGCTGATGTGACTGAAGTGTTTATCTGGAAAGGTGAATCTTTGATGCCACCTACCTAAATATGATACACACGCCTGAATGCAGGGAAGATAGGACCCTGGGGAATAAGACAAGATTAAAGAAGGAGGTTAAAGACTATCTTCAGAGATATAATATGAAGAAATAAAATGTTAAAGTATTCCGCTCATGTAAGATAAAAAAATAATGAGACGAGAATAAAACAAGGACTTTCTAACTGACTTGGGGGACTGGAAAATTAATACAGGAAATCAAGAAGATCACGACGTCGTCTACTGCCATTAAAGTCACTGAGTGAAAGGAAGAACATATATCCTGAAGAAAGAGACCACTGCCTGGACACACTTCAAAACATCAATTCAATTTAACCTTTTCCCAAAGTCGTCATTAAAGTAACTTATTGGATGTCATGAGAAATTTATTACTTTCTTCAATAACTAACTTTAAGAAATATCTTTTAAAACTAAAGATTTAAAAAATATATTTAAACATGTGAACAGCCAATATAAAATACTATTTTCTTTAAATATATTTCAAATTGACTCAGTCATCTACATATTCCATATTCCAAGTTGATGAAATTCTTGAGAGGGAATGAAAAAGGGCTAAGCAATATTATATAATGTGATTGACCCTAAAATGAGGGTTTTTACTTAAAATTACATACCGTATTATTTTCACATAAATTTAGATCATAATGCTAGACAAAATAATAATTGTATGTATTTTATTCATCTTCACAGTAGGCAAATAAACATTGCATCATTAAAATCAATTATCTCACCTTTTGTTTAGACAACAATTATTTGGTGGTTCCTGTGATCATTAGATGTAAGATGCTTCTAATAATAAATACTATTAATAAGGATAGTTTTTTTTTGGGGAGCATAATGTAAATTTTCCACATATTGGATTATTTTGAAGATTAAAGAAAATCTGTCACTATGTAAGTAAATTAGTTCCTAAGCTTTGGAGGCATTTGTAAATAATTTGTCCTGCATAAGTTGGAAAGTATATAAAAAAGTTAGAATACTCATATTTAAATAAAATTTCACAAATTAACCATTAAAATTAAAGAGAGAAAAATACTTGAGATATATTATATCAGTCAATATACTCCAGCAAATAAAAACCTATTAATAATAAGACAAAATACAAGAAGGTAACTGTTTTATTTTAACGTATTTTCTTCATATTTGAAGGAATATTTGCACTTCCTGTTCCTACTTATGCAAAAATGATGTAGACAATTTAGTATCATCACTATATGATTGTTACTATATCAGTGCCCCAAATAACATATCGAAGTCAATTAAGATTATATATAACATGGGTCCCTAAGTCAAATTCAACCTGGACATTGTATGCCCTAACTGCTCTTATATAAACAGGATGCAACTTGAGTAAAAGTAATTAAGAGGACCAGCAACTGAACCTTTCTTAATCATAAGCCATAATTGTTAAATTGTTTCTAAGTGGCATTTAATAGAACAGAAAGCTGAGAGAAATAGGTTTAGAACAAACTAATAATTGTACTTTGGGTGTAAGAAAAAAATATCAGTGTTGATCATAAAAATAACTTCTGAATGTATGCATCAAAAATGTCTCTCTTAGGATAGTGTGATGTGATTGGAAGCCACCTTCCCAAATAAAACAATACTGTTTTCTAAGTATTTTCCAGCACTGACTGTAGTGTATTCTAGCTCTCCACAATGTTGCATCTACTCATTTTTTACTGCAGTCAATTTAATTCTAATGAGAGAGGGAGAGAGAATAATAATAACAATAAATCAACCACAAACAAACCAGTAGATTAAGGAAACTTCATGTAAAAAATCTAAATCATGACCTAAGAACATTTTAACCAGAAGCACACATTCACAAAAGAATCATAAAATATACATATATACATATTTAAAATATTTTTTTCCTAGTTTTTTAAATAACCAATATTATCCAGAGAAGTCTTTCAGATGTTAAGATTAGATGTGATTTTTTCCCCAAAATAAACAGGCTGCCTTAAGTATGTATTAGTATTTTTTACTTCCACAAAGATTATGAAATTGCTCTATACCTGGGAAATGTGGAATTCTATGATACTTAGCTGACTATATAGCCACATAATTGCCCATTTTCACTGCTTCCAATGAGGCCTGACACCTCACCAGTTTATAGCCATGGTAGATGACTAGAAAAAGAAAGTTCTTGTTTTCGAACTTCCTTTCAGAAAAGATTTCCTGAAAATTCAGGATTCAAAAAAAAAAAAAAAAGGCTTATGAATAATGGAAGACGCAGCTGAATTCAACCAGGTTTTATTTCCTTGTAATATGCTATCATATGGAATAAGGTCCAGAAGTGGCAAATATAGCAGTGCGTTTAAGAACTTCTTAAAGGAATCACAAAAGTAATGCATATGAAAAATCATTTCCAATTACCTCTGTTGAGTGATGCTGAACTGTTTATATCTCCAGTAATGAAGGAAGACTCTGACTGCTTTCGTACCGTGTCATTCCACATTCTACGAATTCGGCTCTTGAAGGGGGAGAAAGAAAAGGAAATTAACTCACCAAACACTGAATTTTCACTAAAATCATTCTTTGTCTTTCTTAATCACATGAGAACTTTGTTTCTGGCATCTGGCAAATACACAGCTTTTATGTGGTTGCAGTACAAGAGCATGAGAACATCAGAAACTAAATTAACGATAATAATTGGTTGTCATTAAGTATATTTCTAATATATACTTAATGTAAATGCCTATACCCAAACAATTATAATTATAAAAAAGAGTAAATATAACTATAGCAATTTAAACATGTTGAAGATATAGAGAAGTGTATTCGGGACAGTTAGGATTTAACAATTTTAGTTTCCAAGGTAAAACAAATTATTTTCATTGCAACTTCAAAGGGAAAGGAATATTTTATATGCATTCAATTATCAGTTTTATTAACCAAATATTTAGTTCAAGAATGCAGAATCTTTCAAGAAAGAATTTGGTAAGAAAAGAGAATAGAAAATTACTAAAATGCTACTGAACATAATTAACATTTTCATGATTTTTTAAGAAGACCAATGTAATTTTATAGGTTACATATTACCTTGACTTTTCTTTCTTTTGAAAGAAAGAAAGGAAGTTGATGAACCCTTATTAATTGCTTCATAGTATGAAGGTTTATAGAGAACTGAAAATTTTTACATCTTATATTCTCAAATTCAATATTCTAAGTGCTGGACAATTCAAGAAAGCAGTGTAATATTTTTCCATGTTGCGGTTTTTTTTTTTGTTTATTCTGTTTTGCTATTTTATTGAGTTAGGGAACAAAAGTGTATTAAGAATCTTGTGAGGAAAAAACAAAACATTTTCAGAAAATTTCCAAGGATGAAATAGTTATAAGAGCTATTACTAGTACTAATAGTGAAACCATGTTCACAAGTGGGTTACATTCCACATATATCTGAACTCCTTGAATAATAGTAGTACCTAAACTTAAAATTGTTTTAAGGAATCTTGGGACATGTTTATCCTTCAGAAATATTGTCTATATTGTCATATAGGTCCGCAAACACACACATGTACACACACACACACACACACACACAGAGTAAAACTAATAAACAAAAGCACAATAAGAAATCTGGTGCAGGATTATAGACCCTGAGAACTTGAGAATGTTTCTATTAAAGAATACTTCAAAGCTTCAGATTGAAATATTGGGAACAGATCTTTCACATTTTTAAATTAATGAAAAATATTAATTACCCTCTACCTATATGACAAATACTAACCTAGGAAATACAAAGGGGAGATGAAAACAGAAGATGTCTTTGCCTTCACGGAGCTGCTAGACTAGTAACTGAGAAATCAAACTATCACAAAAGTTAAATGCAAAAGCATAATAATGTGCCCACAAATTTCCATAGAAACATTAATTATTATAACTCAAAACTATAAACAATCCAAATGACTATCAATTAGAGTGGATGAATAACATATAGAATAATATACAGCAATGAAATGAAAAAGCAACATAGCCCCTTGCAGCAACATAGATGTCCAAGGAAAGAAAAAAAAAGAACAATAACAAAATGTTCTGGATGATTTCATACGAATAAGTGTCAAACATGCGCAAAACAAAATGTAGTGTTGAAAGTTGAGAGTAGTTATGTTTGGAGGTGAGTAATTGAGAAGGGCTCAAAGAGTGTCTGAGATATTCCTAATATTCTATTGTTTGAGCTGAGGAGGGGTGATAATTCACTGTTCCACTCACTTAAGTTTTGCACACTTTTGTGAATGTTTGTTATACTACATAACCAAAAAATAATTTAGAAAGTGCACAATAAGGGGAAATGTCTTTGTCTAGAAACTCTGAGAACACTGCACTGAAGAAGTGACATATGAACTGAGAGTTGATGGAATTGTGATCTTATTGGGTGACATTTATATGAGCTACCCCCATTATCTCATCTTCTATTAGTAGTCTCTCCTACCTGGGCTAGCCACACCTGTTCCCTAGCCTTTCCTTAACATGGCAAGCATGTCTCTGTCTTAGGGTTTGGTACACTTGTTTCCTCTGCCTGGAGTGCTCTTCCCCCAGACATAGGTATGGGTAACTCTTTCATCAATTTTAAGGTTTTGCTCAAATATTTCCTCCTTAAAGAGACCTAACTTGACTGCCTTATTTAGAATTGTATTCCACGCACCCAACTCTACTATTACCTCCCATAGACATTATCATTTTCTATAATACACCCATAATAATGTATTTATTTCTTATATTTATATTTAAAGTATAATATCTACATTATATTTGAGGGCCTACAACAACAAAGTTTCTGTCTTTATTGTTCATGATGTATCATACACCTGAAATAATGCCCGGTATATGGTAAATATACTTATGTATATATAATATATAATATATAGCCATTAATTCTTTCTGTGTTCTAGGTTCTATACTATGTATTTTTCATGTATTCACTCACTGAAATCTCACAAGAACTCCCTGAGGTAGTTACTCTTTGATTCATTAGGAAACTGAGGTTCAGAGGTTAATTAACATGTTCAATGTCACAGACCTAGAAAGTGACATAACCAGTGTTTGAACTCAGTCATTTGGCTCCTGATCTAGAAGGTTAACAGCTCACTCTACTATATCAAATAATAGTTGAATAGGAAAAGGAGAAGAGGGAAAAGTATTGCAGGCAGAAGAAAAAGTATATATGTGGCACAGAGCCCAAACTTTCAAGTTTGTGGATTGAATCAGGATGAGCCTCAGAATATGGGTGTGAGAAAAGCAAGTCACAGAAGACTACATACCGTAAGATCCCATTAAAAAAAAAACATTTTTTTAAAAGGCATACTAAACAGCATTTTTTTAGGGGGTGGAAAACTATTAGAATAAGTCAAGGAAATGAAGAACGAAAGTTAGAAGGTTGTCACTGGTCAAGATGCATAGAGATTCATGAGGGAGGGGTCTCAAGAAGGGACAATAATATGGCAAACATTCTATTTCCTAAGTTGGATGTTGAGTTCACAAGCGTTCATTTTATTACTATGCTTCATAATTTAATAGATGTTGCATACATTCTTTTACGTGTCAAATATCATACACTAAAAGTTAATACATCTAAAAATCCAATAAAGCCAAAAAAAAAAAGATAAATGGCAGAACAATTAAAGGAAAGTCAAAGTGGGAAGGATAATACCTCAGTCAATATTTTCTTTTTAAAGATTTTATTAGGGAATTGGGGGAGGGGAACAGCGCTGGGGAATCCGGGGGAGGGGAACAGACAAGTTGCTGTCCTTTTGTTTTTCGGTCTAGTTGTGGAGGATGTCGCTTTATTGGCCCATGTTGGTATTGTCATTGCGCTCTTCCCGGGTTAAGGCAGATCAGTCGCTGGCCTCTGGACAGATGCTCACAGCGATTCTTGGCAGTTCACACCAGCTGTGGGCCACTCACACTGGCTGCCGGCCATGCATGGTAGCTTATGGCAGCCCATTGCAGCAGGCGCTCCAGCCTATGCTGGCGACGGCGACTCATGGCAGCCCAGCTCCAGGTCAAGCTGCTGGTCACCATCTTAGCTGTAGAGTGCAGTGTCACTGATCCTCATGTGGGATCCGAACCAGGGCCCTGCTGCTCAGAGCTGGCGTCCCAAGCCAGCTCTTAACCAATGTGCCACTCGGCCGGCTCTCAGTCAATAATTTTTATTCTCTCTCTCTCTCCAATCCTATAACACATCTCTGTGAACACATGTTTGTGTGACTATATGGGTATTACCAACATTTTCTAAGTGATTAGCCAGGTAGTAAGTATAGAGAGGGTTTCAGCAGGTAGATAGGATTTTCACTTTTTAGTTTTGTAAATCATGCCTTTCCATGATCTACATAGTAGCCATGATTTCCGCTACATGTGGATAATATTCTGTCACTTCCTTTTCTAAATTATCCCATTATGTTTCTAAAATAATCAAGATAATATTTAAACTCACATACTTTTACAAATACCCATGGATCTGTCTTTAGCCTTCTCTTCTGACTTTATATTCAATTTACACTCTCACTCACTTTAGCCAATGGCATTCTTTCTATTCTGGAATTTGCAAGTTCTCTCCTACCTTAAGGGCTTCACATTTGATGTTTTGTCACTGAAAATTCTCTTCCCCTGAATTTCCTTTTTGTCATTCAGATTCTTGGCATAAAAATCATCTTCTAAAATTGTCTTTCTCCAGCACTTAATATAAATAGCCACTGGGACTTTCTATATCACATCACCATATTTGGTTCTCTACATTGAACCACTGAATCTCCAGAGCTTAGAAGACTGCTTGGCGTTACACAGGAGAAAATAGTTGTCAATAAAACATAAAAAATGTAGATTGTTATTCTAGTTCTCTCATGTTAAAAAGACAACCATACTCCCCAAATTTTACCTTAATAATTAAGAGTATTTTAGACTTTGGTTATGAAAGGTCATATTTAATATGAAATACATTTATTACTCTTACCTAAACATACTGGATTTAAGTAATTATCACTTTATGTAGGATTGAATTGTCATAGTTAATCATGATAAGTATTACATTAAGAATAAAAACAGTGTAAAGTTTCCTCCCCTCAAGATTAGAATTGTGATGCTACAACTATAAATGTAAAAATACAATATGATTCAGCTTTATACACACACACACACACAGACACACACACATAAAGTGTCTATATATATATATATATATATACACATATATATATATATAGAGAGAGAGAGAGACACTAATGGTAGCTGCTCCAATTTATTGAACACACACAATTTGTTTTAAGTATATTGTATACATTATGTCAATCTTACTAACAACATAAGAAATCAGTATTATTACCATCACTATACAAATGAAAAAAGTGAGGGTCGATGAAATTAAGCAACTTGTTCTGTGTCACAGCAGGTACATGGCAAAGCTAAAATTCAAACTGAAGTCTACCCACCCACCAAGTTTAGGATTATTCTATTAAGCTGCACTGTCCTGTGTTGTAGCTTAGAAGTATTGCTAAACACTGCACAACTCTGTTGTAACATAATAAATGAAACTCCCAAATATAATTGTTTCATTAATGGCACATTTCAATAAAATTACTACAAGGTGATGGTTTATGAGCTCCGTTAAATGAAGAGCACACAGGAACTAATCACTGGATGACATACAGAATCTTAGCAATTTCAATTTAAAAGTTGTAGAAAATATTATTATAAAAAAGGAGGTAAAAATTATTAGGTTGAAAATAAGGGCATGAATGATAAGATGCTCATGCTGAAAGCATCAGTTGGGTGTGCTCCCACTCTTATGTGAGACTTCAGATTTCTAGTTGGCAAATTTAGTAGTCCTAAACTCAGAAATCTCAGCCCACACAATTCATACATCTGTTCCCCCAATTTGCAACACTGCAACCTCAGTAAGGAATAGGAATAATAAAATAAATCAAATTTAAATTATGAATAATTATGTATCATATATAGGAATAAGTTTCACAATTATAATAATTTGTGGTTAACTTAAGCAATAAGATAGCCTCATAGGCTTGACAGTTATATTTTAGTTTTAAAATATTTAGTTGAAAATATTAGATATGTGGATTTATTTGCAAGATAAAAGATAATTCCACTAGTTTGAGGAAAGTGTTTGTTTATGAGAACACTGTAAATTACCTTTGAATTATGAGATGTTCAAGTGCTAGTTAGGTGTGTATCACTGTCCTGTCTGACAGTAGATGTGTTTGAGAGAATCAGATATATTACATATGTAAATGATATTTAAATATTACAAGGATATTTAATTTTCTAAGCATATGAATGGATTGTTTAGCAGAATTTAATGTTAAGTTTACAAGCCAATTAAGAAGTAATCAAAGAACAAATGAAGCGGTCTTTGTTATGTATATAAAATTACCAAATTTACCAAAAATAATTAGATTTATGGGCTGAGCTAACAGAGTTAAGAAATAACTAAGTTCTTGATTTATAACTTTATCAATTTAAATTAAAGTTTTCCTCAAAAAAGTTCAGTTGACAATACTGGAAACACAATTGTTTTTCCCCACTGAATTAACGCAATCTTAAAATTATTAGTCTGCTAGTCTGCACCCAAACTCACTCATGACCTACATAATCCTATGTCTTTTAGTTGACTGGCTCATTTTAGCATCCTGAAATTGCTGAAATTTCTACATAATAATCTTTAGACTGACACTGTTGCCTGGGAAAAATGGCTAACATGTACCTAAAAGTTGACAGTTTCCCTGGTGAGGAATGATGCACTATGATAGCTAGTGCTGGGCTGATGGGGGAAGCACTTAGACTAGTTGACTCAATAATGCTGTTTGGTATCCTTCACTGCCCTGGCTTGTTCTTTAACTAATCATCATACAATATGGTATGAGCTCTGTTTTAATGAAACATACCATTAAATAAGTAACTATTGTCTGTATGTGGTAGAGAATTATTATACAGGTTAAAAGAACCAATTAGCTCAAGAATCAAATATATAAAATATCACTTTCTTAGAATTTTAGGAGAAGTGCCAAATTTCTTTCCTCACTTCTATACTCATTCAACTGAACCAATCTGAAATCATTATGCAAATTTAGACCCTACATTTCATGATTTTATTGCAGTTTGGTTTCTTAAGTTTCTGTCATAATCATTACCATTTGAGACACAGTAAAATAACAACAAATGTGATGTATTAAACACTCGTGATAAAAATAGAGCTGATTAAGAAAGGACAGCAACCCATAACAAAACATAGGCAATATACATTTTACTTTAATTAACAGATGTTGTTTACCTGTGAGCCTGTAGAGTAGCGTCCAGGAGTTCGAGAACCAGATGTTTTCCCTGAGCCAATGGAACTCTCTGTACTTTTGCCACTACAACAATGTGTTCGCAGGCATTTCCCGTACTCTTTTCGTACCTAGCCAATTAAATATTAACTTCTGTTAGCAAGGAATTTATTTCAGCTAGGAACTATAGTATAAAATATATGAGTTTCATGTTTACATAACTAATATAATTATTTCTTTGTCCTACAAGAAAGTCTGTTCAGCATATTGTTACAATATAAAATAATCATATTCATACCATTAAGTTTGAAATTTTGCATAATTAGAACCTTTTAAAACACACACACACACACACACACACACACACACACACACTTCCAATCATGCCATAATGATGTTCAAAGAACAAAAACGTAAGACTCTTAAAGACACTATTTTTAGTTCCATAAAGTTGATGTGAAATACACTATTGGTGCAATTGTCTTTAGACACAGTCTACTGAGGAAGTTACAGAAAGAAGAATGGATGGAGAAAGGGAGGGATACAGAGAGAGAATATTTAAAGACTGAAATGAAGAATGTTGATCTAAGCATTTCTTTTAACTCTATATTTCTTTGAAGTTTATTTCTCTTAAAAGAGATCAAATTTGCAACTTCAGAATATAAAATTCAAAATTTATTTCCTCAAAATAGTATATTCAATAATCATAGAGAAATGCTATTGCTTTTTTTTTTACGGCCTTGCTGATTAAATTCTTAATCCTGGTTACAGTATAAAATCACAAGAAAAAAGGAGATAAACATTTTTTTTGTAGATGTTTTTCAAGCAGAAAACTATATCAACTGCTTTTGGGAAAACTTTTATCAGGTTTAAAATTTTTATTACTGCCTATTTAATAAAACAAGACATAAAAAAATAAACAAACAGTAACTGCCCTAAATCATACCTCCAGTATCAACATCAACAACAATAGTCCATAACTATGTTTTCATTAACTAAAAACACATCCTGGCACATCTTACTGGTTATACATTCACAAATTCACATTCATTATGAAATAACACTGCATATTTCTTATTCTTAGTTTTTTACATCAACTTTACATGAGCTCATACTTTCTACAACTGTGAAAAAGTAATATTCCAATGTAATTTTACTTAAAACAAAGTTATAAATATGTACTTTTTTGAGAAATGTTGTTTAGAATCAAAAGCAAAAAAAGAGGTGTGTGAATGATACTTTAAAATTTGTATTCAAAAACTAAAACATTACATCTTAATATTGTAAAGTTCATTGCATCAAAGATGTAGCAGATTCAGAGGCAGAATATATTCAGGCTTGTGTGAAGATCTCACACTAATGAATGATTATAATGTGATTGGAAAAATGATACAGAGTCAGGTGAGTCAAAGAGGGCACTTGCTGGAAGTAGGTAGGGGGACAAAGGAAGGCCTCTTAGAAAGGACTTCTTAAAGAATCTTCAAAAGATAGGTTGGAATTAGTCTGTTTAGAGGGTGATGTTGAAAAAAAGAACAGACAAAAGAGAAAAAGGCATTCCAGGTGTTCAGGACAGTGTGACGAAAATAGAGGCATGATGTGTTAACCTTCGAGACCTGTCTCTGACCTGGAATGCCAAATTTCATATTTTTAATATACATTAAAATTATATTGATCTGTTTTCCAAACAATCTCTTCCATGTTACCTTTATCAATAATTAGAAGTAACTACTTTTATTCAGTGTATACAAGCCAATTCATATTATGCTTATTTTTTAAAAGAACTAAGTCTGTACCCACTTGCATATGTGTCCAAGATATGTATAAGTTTGGAAGGATGGATTAAAAAACCTTTTAACTTTTAATGACTAATTACCAGAAATTGTGCTAGGCCTATTCCTCAAAATGACTCTGGGAAATAAACACTACCTACATTTACAGATAAGAATATTGAAACAGATTTAGTAATAAAAGTAAACTGAAAGACTAAAAAGGCTAAGCAATGTTCCTTATGTGAAGAAATCCAAATCTCATAGGTGCTCTGTGATCAGAAAATTCTGTAAGATGCCACATTTCTATCATTAAAATATGATCATGTAGGCATTATATGTTATTAATCTTATTACTAAAGTAATCTATTAGGTTATTTTCTTCCCTGTATCTGGAAAAAATAAGAAAAGATGTTTTAATTAGATTTGAGAAAGCTTAAACTAATCTCTACCCAAAGGTAAGCATTGTCAATTACAGTTTAGTAATTTGTACTGAGTTTATGAAGCATCTCCAGGAACCTAAACTTCAATCATAACTTACATCCTACTTGTTTTGCCTAATATCCTCAACAAGGATATTTTTCTTTTCAGAAGAAAATGTGTCTTTTAATGAAGTGATATAAAACTAAACAAATATTTTTGGGGGGCGGGGGGAGAGAAGGGGGAGGGAGAGAGAGAGAAGAAGAAGAAGAAG